GTATTCCTGCCTACCTTTAAATTCCTCACATACATCTACCATAATCATTGCCTCGGAATTTAGTGTCAATCTTAACTACACAAGTCACAAACCCTAAGCTTGAAACAGTGGCCACAATCCACCTGAAAAGCTCTAGTCAGTCTCCAAGCAGTCATGCTCCAGCTCCAGTTGGTTGTAGAATTTAGCAGACAGTACAGTACAGCTTGAGATGGAACAGCACTTGCCCATGACCTTGAAGGACCAGTGCATACTGGTCCTTCCTTCACTGTTCCCATGCAAAACTTGCTTCAGAGAGTAATCATAGATAGCACAGAGACAGCTCATCACCGAAACCTGCAAGGCCCCAAATCCATAGATAATTGAATAATCTTGTGCGTAATTAGTTAGACTATTGTATGTGGGACAGCACGGTATATAAATTGTATCTGATGTTCAATAAAGGGTCTTTGGCACGATAATCCAGAGTCGTGCACATCATACACTGCAGTAGAAGCTTTCTGAAAAGCCTGAAAATTTCATAGGGAAGACACACACTGAGGATCAACTTCACCAAACTCACCCCTAACTGAGCCCTTTTCCCAACCACTCATTACCAGAGAGCAACTCGCTTTTGACAAGTTTCACAGTAATTAGCATGCATAATGTTTCAGGTAGGTGACAAATGCAAGACACTTTTACAAGAACAAACAACTCATGACTTGGAATGGTAGAAGTTGGCCTCTATGCTAACTCGAAGTAGCGATGCAAGCGTGTTCTGAAAACTGATGTACTGAAAGCATAAAACTAAATCCTGGGAAGAATGAAGATGTTGCTGGTTAAATCTCTATTAGCAAGTAGTACAGTGCACCAAGGGCATCTCTGAAGGCGAAAACGGTGCAAGGAGCATGAACGACAGGTCCTCAGTATTATGGACATTTTACTGTGGAGATTTTACTAGACATTAGTCTACTACCTAAATTAGGCATTAGACTCTCTGAAGTTGCACACACCAAGCATCACAGAATAAATCCTAAATCAAACACTTCAATTTGAAAAAGTCCCTCAAAATAAAGCTCGATTCATTTTATTTCACCCCTTTTTAAAAAAAATCATTATAAAGAAATGTGTCTTATTCCTCTTCCCATCACAGTATCAGAGTTTGAGCATTAATTACTAATTATTCTAGACACATGGAGATTAAGATTTGATCAAGCGACTTTGCATTTAGGGAAAACAGGAAAATTATGCACAGATGCAAGATATCCTCTAATAAAGCACTGTTAAAAACTTATCTTTTTAACAATGCTAAATGTGCTAACTGCAGCCTAAAGATCACTACATAAACACAGAAACATATCTAGTCCACCCATTACACTCCATTTTAAATTCATCCCAGCTCAACATGTGGCATTTGAGTGAGGAATTAAAACCACAAACTAGCTGGCACACATAACAGTATTAACAACATGTCTAAAATAAAAGGAGGACCAAAAAAGTGCAGTAATGCAACCTCAAATGGACACATGCACATAGCTCCCAGTGTTTTCTTCTCTGCCAACAACTTAGAGTCCAAGCTTTAAACTATATCTGCAACACACTATAACCACTGATTTAAATATTGTTGAGAAGACTATGCCAAACAGGACATGAACCTATAAGGAGCCTCTTTGCCATATCGGCATCATCTCTCCCATTCTTCAGCTGGGACACAGCACCTGCACTGTGGCAGTACAGACAGAAAACAACCAGGACAGGGACAAAACACCGGTTCTGCTAAAGAGATCTAACACATGTGAGAGCAAGTTCCCATTTTGTGTTTCAGTATGGAAGCTGAACCAGGCTGCTCACGAGTTAACAACTATGGAACTTCAGTACTGGATATGCAAGAGGAAAAACTAAGAATGCATGTTGTAATTTCAGTATCTATAAAACATAATTTGCCACTAAGATCCCTTCTCCCCATAAAAGATATAGGCACACTTCCATCTCTTCTAAATACACATATTTTTAATTAATGGACATGAAATTACCAATAGGGTCACACACAGATTAGTTCCAGCACAGGCATATTTTTCGCCCATAAAGAGTTACTGTACTACATTACTGCACCCTAATACGCTACTTCAAAATCTGATCAAATACAACTAGACTGTAACTATTGCCTTCAAAACCAGAAACCAGCAGCCTGTCAATGACAGCACACAGGCTGTCCTGATCTTTACCAAATAGAGCCAAGATGCCAGCAGAAACTCAGGACGACAGATAATACTCTCTCTAAGAGCAGCAAAACACAATCATATCACCTTATCTACAGTATTTCACTCAGATGCAAACCATAGCTTCAAGTCATATTTTGGCAAAATGAAAACTTGGTAGGAGCTGTAGGTCCTGGGTGTTACATTCTAAAGAAAAGAAAAAAAAAAAAAAAAAAAAAAAAAACACACACACACACACACACACAATCAGCTCACACACCACCCTTGGCCTCCAGGTCACCACATTTTGCAGACCTCTGCTCCAAATCCATCTTT